ATCAAAGTGACATGCTGTTCACTGGGATGTGGAACGAAGGCGGACAGGCCGCTGCCCTCAGAGGCACTGTGCCATATCCTCACCTCAGCCCTGTCAATCTGGAACTGAAAACAAACACAAAGGCACAAAACTGAAGTAAAGAAACACATATTTGCAGGTTGCCTTTTTATTGATTTTTCATCAAGAGTTCATATCTTATTTTAAAGGAATGATAGCAGGGCATTGTACAGACTATTCCTTTGAACTGATGTACCCAAGAGGAGCAGCACGATGCCTTATATAATTTATTAGAAGCATAAAGCAGTTTGTTTGATGTTCAGAATAGCCTGCAGACCCACATTACATGTTTTTGCAAAACAACTAATTGGTGACTATTAGTGGAGTGTCTGCAGGATTGAATAGAGACTATGTTACTATAGCTGGTAATTGATAGATTCATGATCATTACTGTTAATGATGGTCCATTTTGCAAAGCTTGGTTTGCACAACCCATCAGCGAACTGTGCTGTGAAAATGTGTGTGATTTAAATATAAGGCACAAATCATGTAAACATTTAAAACTATATCAGAGTTTAAGATCTTCCTAAAACATCTCTTGCAAGAAATACGCTCAAGGACAAAAACACCACATTTTAAAAAATAAGCTGGTGCATATACTGTATCAACTGGCTGTAAAGCAAACTCCCTCCAGCTTGGCAGATAAAAAGATCAACACCAGCTTTTAATTCACATTGCATCCTCGTCCAAACTGTCGGCTCTCCTTATTCATTATTAAGTATGATGATGTGCATTACTTCAGTAAACTTACAGCTGTACACCTCTATTTATTCCCGTTTTTGCTTCATACAGCCTAATCAGGGGGCAAATTGTTGCCTACAAAAATAATCAAATCATTTCTACTGAGCCAAAACAATCAGAGGATGGGAGCAGTTTTAGTGTGAAATCATAAAAAAATAAATAAAAAAAACTCATGAAACTCTGTTTGCAGAGTGGAGAGAAAGATCAATAACAGTCAAGACTGATTAGACAAAAGGACCTATCTTGTTTGGACTGCCTTACATCAGATCTTTGAAAGTACTCAGGCCTGTGTATCTATCGCCAGTGTTTGGACAAATAAAAAAGATTCTGGCTCACAGTTAGGAGTAAGTGAAATAGCTCTCTCTGTTTCTACAGAAAACAATGATTTTTTTTTTTCATTTAAAGCATCACACTCACAAGTGAAAATATGTTTTCTGGTATTTATTGAGCTTTTCTGGTGTTGAGAAGTAATATTTTGTCAATCTACCATGTACCAAGAAAAAGCATGTAGGTAAAACTGTAGGTATTTCACGTTCCCCTGTCCTCTGTACAACATCACTGTATAAAGATCAGTTCATGAGCGAAGAATATTCTCAGAGATTGAGGCTTTAAAGACGGCGGCAGACCATTCGAGAACTGCAGATGAGAGACTGGGGAGTGGAACCGGAGGAGAGATAGAAAGAGACAGTGAGACGTTAATATCTCTCATATGACACATACTGCATATCATCCAAGTAAAATAACAGCAATGCAAATATGTATAATTAGTGCCAGTGTTAGGCTACTTGATATTTTAACCATGTCACAGGGATTTTCAGTTTGAACCTGAGCATGTGGTACAAACCTGACACTGTCTTGTGAACAGATCAGCCTAATAATCTCAGTTATATATATATATATATATTTTCTAAGTATTCATTATTCTACATAGTGCATTAAGAGGTTGTGACCTAAACAAGCATACTTACTGAGCATGATTCCCAATTCATATAAAAAAAAAGGTCCCTGCACTTTTTTCTAATGTATGAAAACTATTTCTGAAAATCGCTCAGAGATTCCAGCCCATTTACTGTCCCGTCCTCATTAGCATTCCTTTGCTCTCCTTAAACTGTGGGTCATTAAAATACCTGACAGTTAGTCCTACAGCACATTGTGTTCTTTAACCGATTTTAAATAAATAAATAGCAGCAATTAAACGCTAACACCAGTTCCACTTCGGTCCCCGAGCTCCGAGCCATATTTCATGCTACATTCATCTATCTGGCTGCTGTGTGAACAGAAAATAGATAACATATTACCCTCAGCAGCCATGTTGTTCTCAGCACGCTGACCTCCACGTGCTCAGCTTTAGGTATTTACTGGATGATGAGATATTAAATGATATAACAGGAAGACAAAATCTGATACATTTACAAATGGCACAAACGTCGGCTTTTTTGAACATAAACAATATACTTTGATACAAATCTAATTATAGAAACAAGTGTGACAGGAAAATTTTCCCTTGAAGCCATTTCCTGTCTTTGCAGCAACATTCCTTGTGCTTATATATGATAAAAGTGTTGTTATTGGTGCCTTTGTTGTGGTGATAATCATGAAGAAGTAAGTGTAACACCTCTGTTTCAAATATATGACCTTGTTTTGCGAGGGGGGGGGACAATATAATAAAACCAGTGGTGATTTATGACACAATAACTTGAGCTGAAAAAAGGGGCTTATAATCATTGCCTATGGAGTTAGACAACTTATCAGAGCAGTCAGCAAGCATACCTTAGAATAACTTATTTCCACTTTTGCATACACCGGGATTTGCAAAAGATTTCATAAATCATGCCTACAGCCCTCTTCTGTTTTCCTCGATGACAACCAATTGGATTTAATTCCCCTCTTTTCTTCTTTATTAAAAGACCAGAGTGCAGGTCCAAACCTGACAGCAGACCAATCTCTCAAGCCTCCATATAACACCCTCCCCTGCCACTTCCTGTCCCTAAATTAGGATTAATTACGCAATGGGCCAATATGCTGAAATGGGAACTTACGCTCCTAGGAACAGAGCTCTACAGATGTTCTGTCTCAGTTAGTGGAACAATTTTTAGAAAGCACTCACATATACATATGCTGAGCACAGCAGGCATGGGACCGACTGTCTTGTTGTATTCTGTGGGCTTGATAATACCTGGCAGAAGGGTCTCAGGATATGATGACACTGATTAAAGCCACTTTTATTGTGTGTCAGGTGGGACTGAATTCTTTGTTATCTTTCTAATCATTCATTACACACAGTGAGCCAATGCACCACACCCCTCAGTCTGATGTGATGCATGTCTGTTCACTGGTGCCCAGATGAGCTTTTCCATTACGGTGTGCGCAGGTATAAATAATAGTATTTAGAATTTTTTATGGATCTTTTGTAAACAGCTACAAATATGTATATATTTACACTTGCTGTAAAGATGCACCATTTATCTGTCATGTAAGTAAACAACAGTGTCGGTAGAAGTACTCCTTCCACCACTGTTTGTATATTTAACCAGTTACAGCTACTGAAAATAAAAATGTAATTAAATTACAGTTACTAAACAAAATGTTGGTGATTAGAAAGGCATTGCATCAAAATATATTAATTTTGGTTAAAAGCCTATATATAACATTCATTCTGTTGTTCTGCATTTTGAACTTTGCTTTTGACTGTTTGACTTTGCACTGCCTCTTTTCCGCCTGTGACCAGCTGACAACGCCAAGGCAGCTGATCATATTTTCTGACAAGAAGTGCTGGAAATTCAACAGAATTTTCCTCCTGAAATCAGAAAAGAGTTTCTTGGTGCCCATTCAGTAGACTACATGCTTCAATAGCAACATATTATGTAATTGAGCTTATGTTGAAGAGCCTTTAATAAAAGTTTGCCAGTAATAAATGTAGGGTACCGTTGTGAGGTTTACTCTGCCTGGTTTAAATTCATGTTAGTATCTTTCAACCTTATTGCCCAGTTTAAAACAAATTTTTTAATAAAACTAATCAAAACATAAGTTAAGTTACATTACTTTGATTAAGTAACTTAAATAGTTACATCCCTTATTACATTTTTAACAGGGTAACTAGTAATCTATTACATTTCAAAAGTAACCGTCCCAACACTGGATATACTATATTGCACATAAAAGTAGTCAGTATGTGGAACGGTCCCGTTCAGAGTCCTACTATGTTACCATATTATTATATATTATTAATAGTTTCCCCCCCCTCACAGGTCACCCCATATGCTATTAAATCTATTAGGAGTTTTCCTTAAATTGTTAAGGGGGGATTACTACCCCAAAGTGCAATACATTTATTGCTTGAAATTATTGTTATTATTGCAGATACAGAGATAATTGTTTTATGTGCTGTGCATTACAGGTACAAAACAATTACAACGATCAGATATATGTAGTTGGGTAAAAAATCCAGTACTATCCTCTGAAATGTAGTGTAGTACAAGTACAAAGTAGCATAAAACTCCCGTAAAATACCTCAAAATTGTACTTAGCACTTAATTAAATGTCCACCACTGCTACCAGTCACTTCTGTCGTGGTATTTCTATGCTACAGTAGCTCCTCTGAGGTAAAAACATAACTTTACATAACAAACATAACTTTGCTTTGTACTTTTGGTTGTTTTAGGATAACTGTTGCAAATCTTGCAATACATTGCAAAGTAGGATTTGCTTCGTATTTTCATGAATTGCAGGCATTTCATTGGTGTTTCTTTTTATCTACACTGATCCAAGCATGAAATGACACTCTGCTATTCAACTACAAATCTGTGACTTTTGTCAACTTCCATTACTGTCACTCCAAATTCTTCCACTTACATTTGGCAAATAGCGGCACTGAAATATGCACACAAAACTAGGACTACAAGTACTGTATATACTGTGTTCTCTGTGCCCTCACAGCTGCTCACACTCTGTATATATCACCAACAACTAGTGGGTGCAGATTTTGCATTTGTGAATAGAGACTTCATTACAATATTAGCATCAATGGCCCTCCATAAATTAGAGGAAGACTTCGACCAGCGTGGACTAACTCAGCCACACAGCTTCCCGCTGTGAACATCACCAGAGGAGAGGGAGAGCAGAGGAAGGAGCAGCGCCTGGCGTGTTATGTGATGTAAGGACCTCATTGTTCAACATGCAGCTCAGTGTGTTGTGTTCTGCAGTCTGTGAAGCATTATGTCCTGGACCGTGTTCGATCGTCGCACCAAGGATGGAAGCAGTGATGGGCAGCTGGTGGCTGCGACGTGCTTCTCAGCTTTCACACATGCCAGAACTTGACACAATTTTAATACATTCAGTTCTGAAGGAAAACGGCTCCACACGCTCATGAACAATGCAGTTATCTAAAAATAACACCAAGCATTCTGTCTGAGAACTTCAGCAGTGCAAATGTTGGACAAAATGGAGTCCAGCACCTTATAGTGGGGCCAAACAGAGTACACCTGTGCTTTGGTGTGCAAGTGCACATTAGAAATGAAGAAATGATCCAAGAATTTAGGAACAAGAAGTGTACTGAACTGCATTTCTCATGTGCACTTCCCTGATAATGTGTTCAGCTTGTTCCATTTATAAGGTGCTGGATTCTTTTATGTCATTTGGTTTCTTTTTCCTTGGCATTCATCTTTTGATAATTGCTTTTTGTCTTGTTCAAATAATTTAAATTCCAAGAACCTGGTTGCAAATTAATTTTTATAAAATAGCCTTGAGAGTAAAACCTCAGCTTTGTTACTCGGTGGATTATACTGGACAATTTGTATCAGCAGTGGTACTACCACAGTCAGCTACTTGAGTATACTATAAAGCTCAGACATTAAATTAAAGAATTGTTTCAGGTTTTTTATTTAATTATACTGGCTTTTGTCATAGACATAACATTGTCTTTCAAGTGGAGAACCAGCTACTTTCTAGCTTCTAACATCAATATCTTAAGAGATGCATGGTAGACACTGACAATCAGTGCAGAATGCTAAGTGCCCTGCAGATTTCCACGTTACTAGCCTGCTGTTTGCCTTGACATTTTTCTTCCAGATTTCTCAAAATTCTACTTCTGGCTACTACTCCACTGTATATATATTTTCTTTGTTGTTATGATATATGATGCAAATAAGCACTGTAGATTGGGGCAAGAGTGAAAACCACCTGGCTTTAGGTTTGTAGAAATATAGAAGAACCTTTATAAAATTTGATAGATCAAGTTACAGATGCACAACAGTTTTAAAGGAACAGCTTGTAAATTATTGTGCACTTTTTTCTGCAAAGAGAGTTTCTTTTGCAAGCTAGAACCACAACCATCTCAGAACAAGCCTATGTTTTGGGTAAAATTGCACACAGAGGACAAAAAAAAGCCATTTAGAGTGTCATGTTCCTCCAATCGCTCGAACAAGCACATGCATACAACCTAGAACTGGATAGCAGTCACAACAACAGCTATAATAAGGCATGGAGGTCATGACCTTGGTGTGTTTTCCACATTTTTTAATACATTCACATATTTAAGAGAAGTGAATTGTCTCAAACACTTCCATATCACCTGAGTCAAGGAAAACTACACATTCTGCTCAATATTGCGTTCGCTCTTTCTAGTAAGATTTACAAAAGGGATTGCACCTTGTGGTATCGTTCAGCTCATACGGTCACATTTTATGGCCTCCTAAAAGTGACAATATAATATTTTGGTCCTTCAGTATTTTCAGGACAAGTGACATCAGTGTCACAAATCTCACCAATGCTGACAGTACATGCTCATCAACAACTCCACGTCCTGACTCACTGCTCTGATGTTAATGGCAGATGCTGAGTTGCATTAAGAAGAATAGCCCCGTGTCCACAAGAATCAATCATCTGTTGATAAACGATGCGAGCGGGTAAAACTGAAAGGACTCTGCTTCTGCATAAGACCTGATAACTCTCTTCAAACATATCTCGTCCTTCAGCAGAATGTCAGAGTGAACCGGTTTCAGAGACAAAAGAATGCAATGATTGAATTTCTGCCTTCAGCCATGGGGAAACTCAACACTCGGGAAAATAACACACAAGCCAAGGTCAGTGCATTCTCATGCCAAGGCACAGCTCCTCGGGTCTGTTTGATTGTTGTTGTTTCTCCTCTGAGTGAAATATAAAGGCTGAAACATGAAGGGGAAGAAATGCTGGAGAAGCATTGGTCAGAGAACTGTTAACATGGAAGACTGTAATCTCTTCCAATGACAATCCCAAGGATCAAAAGCAATGAGCTGCTGACTGTTTAATAAGCTGCAAGCTTACACTGCAGTATGATCTTAACTGTGATTCATTACTGTCACTGGATCTTCTATGAAAATAAAAGAGGCGCCCGAGGAGGCTGCGGGATTCCAGTCACACTAAATTGCTGTAAATTGCCTCTGCATTATATGTAAAGACAATTTGTGGAGTTCATTCTGGTTTCTTTCCTCCTTCCCTTTATTTTGCCACCAATTAAAAATGCATGGAAATAGGAGTTTTAAGATCCACATGAGTTGCCACTGGATTTTTAAGTTGACATATTCAAAGCACGGTTTGATATTTTATTCATTTCATTTCCTCACATTGTAATGATAGAGGTAGATTTATACAGCTTGGCTCAGAGTCATTGCTGACATTTCCTAATTTATGAGAAGTGAACTGCAGTGAATGTTCTTCATCTCTTGAACAACATCTCATCTCTTACAGCAATAGTTAACTCTTTGCGACACTCCAGTTTTATAGAGAAGATAAAAGCTGTCATACTGAGGTCAGGAATCAGTAGAATCTGCAGTAATACATTTTACTTTTATTAACATCCTAAACTGAAATAAATAAAACTCTAATATTACATTCTGTTTCATAGAAAACCCAACAAAGTTTTAAAAGCAGAGCCATGTATCTCATTTATGTCATCTTGGGATCTACACTGATCAGCCACCTTAAAACCTCTGGCAGGTGAAGTGAATAATATTGATTATCTCACACTGGCACCTGTCAAGAGGTGAGATATATTACACAGCAGGTGAACAATCAGTTCTTGAAGCTGACGCGTTAGAAACAGGAAAAAATGGGCGAGCCTAAAGATCTGATCTTTGACGAGGGCCAAACCGTGACAACTACACAACTGGGTCAGAGCAACTTCAAAGCAGCAGGTCTTGTGGGGTGTTTACACTCTGGGCACTGTTCTTCTTGGAAAGCTTGGGTTCTGGCATTCAGATGAATGCTACTTTGACACCTGCCTAAACATTTTTGCAGACCAAGTACACCCCGTCATGACAACAGTGCTCCCTGATGTCAGTGGCCTTTTTTAGCAGGATATTGCTTCCTGCCAGGAATTGCTCAGAAATTGTTTGAAGGTGAGAAAGATTTCAAGGTGTTGCCTTAGCCTCCAAATTCCCCAGCTCTGAGATGTTCTAGAAAAACAAGCCTGATCCACAGAGACTGCAACTTACAGGACTTAAAGGATCTGCTGCTGACGTCTTGGTGTCAGATACCTTCGAGGTCTTTTGTAGTCCATGTCTCAACAAGTCAGAGGTGTTTCAGCAGCACTAGGGCAACCTACGCAGTATTAGGCAGTGGTTTAATGTTGGCTCAAGAAACTCTAGTTATTTCAAAGATTAAGTTAATGCTGTTATTTGCATTTTAAGTACCAAAATTAAAAAGCTAAGGCAGTGTTTATTGCTGAAGAAAGGCTGTTCAGAAGGCCGGCTAAAGGCTGGTGGGAAATGAAGGAAAAGGCTTGATATGCATACACACACACACACAGAAGCAGCAGCAGCAGGGCACTGGTTTAGGATGCTGCTCTGGTTAAAGCCAATGCTTGGCTGACTCATTACAGCACTGGTGAGCATACTCATTAGTCAAATTCACTGAAAACAGCTTAAAAATGCATTTAAATGGTAACCAAAATTTACTGTGCTTTAAATCGCTTTTATTATTCTTCAGAGTATAAGGTGATCTATAATTCATTCTGCGGAGTTCATTGTTATTCCCATTGGTGAAAATGAGTGTGGGGAATGTGATAGGGAGGGTCTCGTCTCACTGTTAATTAGCACAGCAGAGAGGGTTGCTTTATTTTTTTTAAACCTGTCCTACACATGACACAAGATCATTAGGTGACTGAGAATTTTGATATAGAATACAATTTGTAACTTGTTTCTCATTTTTAAAAAGCTATCTTTAACTGGGGAAATGTACATAAAGGTAAAAAAAACAAAGCAAATGGTCCTGGGCTTGTTCCCCAGTTTCTATTTATGGTTGTCTTTAATTTAGGAGTCTCAGGGATGCAGGGGAACCTCATAAGAGCACATCTGTGTGTTTATGGGAGGCACTTTGTTCCTGCTTTCATCCAGATTAATCCAACAAACAGAATTCACTGCAGATTGTTATGTAAAGTTGTTTTCAATATATATTCTTCCTCTTCTAGTGAACAAAAATAGTGCCACAGCAAAGTAATGATAAATCCCCTTCAAACTCTATTAAGGTACCAATTCACTCCCTTTCAGCACTCTAGGTTATGATTATGACATAAATATGTAAGTGGAGACACAGATTTCAGGTTCATAAAGCAATGCAGATGCTTTTATGTTTTAATGTTGCATTATGATTGAAGGAGTTCACTTTCCCCTGATATTTTAAGTATCATTTGCCAGATTCATGGACATGCCTACCTTTATATGCAATAAATAACAGTTGTGCCCTTGACAAATATCATAAAATTTTCATTTCAGTTGCAGTAACTGCAGGTAATAATAATAAAAACATTTATGTGACTCTCAGTGCCTTAGTGCCTCAGCTATCATTTGCTACCAGGTTCTGCTTTTCACAATGTAAGAGGATTCTCAGTATCAGAGGGAGGGGGTGGGGGTGGGGGTGAAAAAACAGAAATAAAACCACATGATAGAGTGATACTTCTAGAGATTTGACAGATAATAAAGAATCCCTGACCAAGCTTAACAAATACTGTACATTAGACCATTTCCCTAAGCCCCGGCACATATTAGTCCCGCTGGAGAATATTCATTCATAGTGAAACAGCTTATGGGAGCATCTGGCTTTATATTCATATTAGCTGCTGTGCTCATGAAACATGTATCCTGATAAAGAGGATTCATGAGCACAGAGCCTCTTTAAAATATGGCTCTTTCAAGTCTTTTGTTCTTGTAGAAAAGCATACCATAGAGTCATGTTTGCTTTTCTTTTGCCTGCGAATCCACCAGTGTGTAGTTTTCAAATGTAGATATAC